AGCTCTGGGAGACTATCAAGAAAATCATCCATGAAGAACGCAAAAGATCATTACAAAGGCTGAAAAAGAAGAAAAGACCAAGATGGATGTCAGATGAGACTCTGAATATTGCATTAGAGCTCCAAGAAGCCAAAGCTAAAGGAAGAAACCAAGAAATCAAAGAGCTAAACAGAAATTTCAAAAGGCAGCCTGGGACGACAAAGTAAGATACTAAAATGAAATGTGCAGAGAGCTGTAGTCAGAAAATCAAAAGAGCTGGACTCACTTGGCGTTTCCTAAGCTGAAGGAGCTGCAAAACAAAGTCAAGCCACGGATGGCAATACTTAAGGATGCTTTGGGTAGAATGCTAAATGATCCAGGAAGTATCAAGAGAAGATGGAAGGAATACACAGAGTCACTGTATCAGAAGGAATTGGCTGACTCAGAATAATTTCATTAAATGATATATGAGCAAGAGCCTATGGTGATGAAGGAGGAAGTTCGAGTTGCTCTGAAGGAATTGGCAAAAAACAAGGCTCCAGGAGTTGACGGCATACCAATTGACATATTTCAACAAACAAGACACTGCCCTGGATGTGCTCACTAAGTTGTGCCAAGAAATCTGGAGGACAGCCAGCTGGCCAATTGACTAGAAGAGATTGATATTTGTTCCCATTCCAAAGAAAGATGAGTGGGGAAATTATCGAACAATATCATTAATATCACATGCAAACAAGATCCTGCTGAAAATTATCCAAAACCGTTTGGAACATTATGTCAACAGAGAAGTGCCAGATATGCAGGCTGGATTTAGAAGAGGTCGTGGTACTAGGGATATTATAGCTAATGTTAGATGGATCTTGGCAGAAAGCAAAAAATACCAGAAGGATGTCTATCTGTGCTTCATTGACTATGCAAAGGCTGTGTGGATCACAAGCTGTGGCTGACTCTGAGAAGAATGGGAATCCCAGAACATTTGATTGTGCTAATGCGAAACCTCCAAAGTACTGAAGAGCAGTGGTGTCACTCTGGAGACTAAGGTGCGTTTGATACATGGTCTTCACAATCACTTGTTATGCATCAGAGAGTTGGACAATGACCAAGGAGGATAGGAGGAAAATTGATGCCTTTGAGCTGTGGTGCTGG